GGATGTATACACAGGCTAGGTAAACAGAGGAGCATCTGGGTACGAGAATGTGCTATGACTCACCTGATGTGTTGTCCTTGACATCAACTTTACAGCCATCAGCAAGCATCCATCGCAAGACATCTAGATTAGCACCATCAACTGCCCAATGCAATGATGTACAACCTGTCTTGTCTATGATATCCCATGATGCTCCATGTGCTCGCAGAAGTTTCACAACCTCAAGCTGGCCTAGGAGRAAAATTRGATCAGTGGATCAATGGATCAGCGGATCATTATTCAATGGTTCAGTGRATCAATAATCGATGAATCAGTGAATCAATGAATAAATAGATGCTGAATCTTAATACTCCATTGAATTCAAAGCAAATAACCGCTGTTTTATTTTATAGCTCTTATGCAAGAACTTACCAAACACAAAAGAAAGCAGTAGAAAATGTTAGAGTACATTAGCGCTAATAATTTACATTTTCACCAAGTTGAGGCTAGCCCTGAACTCCCAGAAGGCTCATAAATTAGATTTTATGGGCATAATTTATACAAGGTTAGTCTCAACTCAGGAAAAATGCAAATCGTCAAGGCTATTGTTAGTAATAAAGACATTTTCTTGTGCTCTCTTTTGTGTTTGGTCAGGTCGTCTTTGCTCAGAGAATCTGTTGTCAAATAGAACAGCAGTTGTAAGCTATGAATTTAAAACTGGAGTATAGATCAGTGGACAAAATGTCTGTGCACTAATAAGTACCTGAGTAACAAGCCATCATCAATGCAGTCTTGCCACTGCTATTCTGAAAATGTACATCAGCCTTGTTGTCCAGTAACGTTTGTGCAATCTCTGTGTATCCTTTTTGAGCTGTAACAATAATCAATGTCATTAATAATCCATGATAGATATATCTATTTATAGGCAATATGGAGTAACATATTTATTTTCAGTAAAGTATGATGGGTCGATATGGAGGACCAACTAACTTTTTCGTGTCAACCCAAACAGTTCTCATAAGCCGCTTTTTTTTTCTCTACAGAAATAGAAGTAGTTGTTCTGCAAAGAAACTAATAAATGCAGCTTTTAATGTAAAGCAATTTTTAGGGGATATGAAAAGTGTGAGGACAACGACTACCATCACGTATCACTGCACTTTGCCTATTGCTGCCAAAAAATAATATTTCTCTGTGTGGATATTTTGGATTAAATGATTTTGCAAATCAAGACAACCTTGAGTCCAGCCAAGCAAGCACAGCAAAATAGTTGTGGATTTTTTATATTCAGATGCTCTTTCAACCCCTTCCTCCCCTCCACTTCCTTCTCTTTTCCTCACCATCCCTCCCCTTCAAATCATACATTATATACATTTCCCATACAAAATTCATGTAGGAATCTGCACAATAGCTAATAATCTGGACAATAAAAATTCCCTCACCAGCAATCATTAGAGGAGAAATGCCAAACTTGTCTGGAGAATCCACTGCTTGCCAACTTAACTCTAAGAACAAAATGTTATAGTATACCCAGGGACCGCGGAGCGGGATCTTGTTT